CGCAACGCAGGCAGAAGGATTGTTTGTTTTGTGATTGGAAGGCTGTGCGGCAGAGCACGGATAGCTCGAAACGCAGTCCAGGCAGCAGCATTTTGACGTTGGGAGCAAGTCCAGCGAGTGCTGACAAACGTGGCACACAGTGGAGGAAGGTACGGCGTCGTCCAGGGCTCTGAGAAGAGCAAAGTCCAGGACTGTAGGAGAAGAAAAGCAGAGAACACCAGCGGAGACAGTGGAATGGATGGGATATGTATAGTATTGCACCGTGCAAGCAGAAAAGACCACAGACACTGCCGCTCCTGCGGCTGAGAGAGTTGCTCCTGTCGATGGCGTGATCATTACAGTTCACAATTACGTCACGTGCGCTCCTGCCAATAGTCTTGGACTGCAGTTTCTCCCCACAAGAGCTTCACCACGACTTCACACCACCACCTTTTAGTCTTGACACCGTCGCCACACCATCAGACACTACGCCGTTACCCGAGGTGGGCCTCTCCAAGACAAGATAAGAGAGCCTGCACCTATCCGAACGGTGCTTTGTCAGGTATGTCTCACTTCCAGATCGAGATGGCGTTGCACAACTGCTGACACAAAGGGGGGCCGCAGATTCACAAGCGAACGGGACTGATCCGAACTGCGTCGTGCTGACGGAGATCAGAGGTGTGTGATTGGTAAGATCTTGTTCTCCGCTGAGTTGAGCCCCGTCGTGCTGACTGCAAGGGGCCAGAAGCTACCGTCGGATCACAAACGCCGCCTTGGAACAAATCCTTCCACCCCAGTCAATTTCCTCTCCACTCTCGCTATCCACACCGAACCTCTACCGAACCTATCCGAGTCAGATCATCTTGACTCGAGAAAAAATGTCGGATCTTTCCGGACAGCAGGGCGACCCGGGCCAATCCAGCAAGGGTCCAGCCAAGCCAAATACCAACGATGAAGTGAACAATGAAGGCCGTGGGCTCCCTTTCATCTTCAAGGCGTCGAAGTCCGATGGTTTTGACCAGGGCAAATCCAGCAAGGGTCCAGTCAAGCCAAATACCATCGACGAGGTGAACAATGAAGGCCGTGGGCTCCCTTTCATGTTCAAGGCACCGAAGTCCGATGTTTCTTACCCAGGCCAATCCAGCAAGAGTCCAGTCAAGCCAAATACCATCGACGAGGTGAATCATGAAGCCAAGGCGCCAAAGTCTGATGTTTCTGAACCGGGCCAGTCTACTGCCGACACCAAGAGCAAGTCTGCTGATGCCGGTCCACAGGCAGCTCGTTTGTCGGACCCTTTCACCTCTCCCTCCAAAGGAAAGGGCAAACGAAACAAGGGGAAGGGGAGAGCAACAGAAAGAGATGCTGGCCCCATGAAAGTTGCACGTGGTTCGTTCATGCCTCTCCCCCCTCTGCCTACGGGAAAGGGCAAGGCGAAAGCAAGAGATGCTGGCTCCATGAACGTTCCACCTAGGTGGATTAATGGTGCTGAACCTTGGGTGTACCGTCTAGCTTCTAGCCTCATGGATGTCAGAGCCTACTCGGACCGTGTCACCACACCCTCAGGAGAGCCATCTGAATGGTTTCATGATATCATGAATTCTGTTGTTGATGGACTGAGTGAAAGAGCTGAAGCTCACCGCCGCGCTGCCGAGGCCACTGAGGGCGTTTCCACCGAAGAGGCCGAAGATAACGGCCAAGCATCTGGATACAATGGGGAACCATCTGGATTCAACAGCCGAGCATCTGGATTCGACAGCCAAGCATCTGGATACAACGGGGAACCGTCTGGATTCAATGGTCAACCATCTGGATTCAACGGTCAGCCATCTGGATTCAACGGTCAGCCATCTGGATTCAACGGTCAGCCATCTGGATTCAAAGAAGAGGCCGAAGACAACGGCAAGGCATCTGGATCCAAAGAAGAGGCATCTGGATGACCTGATAGTCCGATACTCAACAGTCCATGGCCCATGGCCCATGGCCCGATAGTTGTGGTGGTGCGGCGTTGTGTGTGTGGTATCCGCTTTCTCCAAAGGCCACCAAATGTGTACTCACCCACAGTGTGGGCTGAGCCTTTTTCCCCTTAGCTGGTATTTTCATGGCTAGTAGTGATATGGTATTGCTACTGGCTAATACCTACTACATTGCCACCTGATGCCTGATGTCTCATGGCCGATAGATAGCTCAAATAGCTCTAATAGCCCGATAACATTGTCGACAGACAGCCCCCGATGCGATGGTGATGATGTCTGTAACGCAACTTGCACCGGATCCTCTCCAGGGGGTGCCACGCGTGAGTGCTCAGGGTAGTGCAAGTTTGAGTCGAGTCTCCTTTGGCCATGTTATGCCATGCCATGGCTGATATTGATATCTATATCTGATATTCTCATGGATGGCCATGGCTGAATACTAATATTCTCATGGCCATGGCTGATATTCGATACTTGATACGTGATAGATGGCCCCATGGCTGATCAGAAGCCCATGGCTGATATCTCATGGTCATGGCCGAAACTTGATACCCTAACGGCCCATGGCTGACGGCTGATACCTGATCCCCTGATGGCCCGATGATGGCTAATCGCCCTAATGGCTGATACCTGATGCCTGATACCGGATACCGGATACCAGTTAGCCCGATGGTGTCTGATACTGGATACCTGACAGCCCATGGCTGATCTGATGCCCCGGTGGCTGATACCTGATAGCCTGATGACCCCCGATAGCCTCTGATGGCTTCTGATAGCCTCTGATAGAGTCTGATGGTGTCTGATCGCCCCTGATAGTGTCTGATGGTTGCTGATAGCTCCTGATGGCCCCTGATGGTGTCTGATCGATAGTAGTCTCTACAAGCCTCGTTTCCTTCCCGGCGGGCGGGAGAACTTACAGAGTTCTTAGGGCGTGAGTCGGGTTGTCCCCTTGGCTGATGTCTCATGGCTATGGCTGATGGGTGATACCTGACGGGCCCATGGCTGATCAGATAGCCTATGGCCCGATGGTGGCTAATGGATTGGCTAATGGACTGGCTGATGGGCTGATACCCAGATAGCCTGATGACCCGATAGCCCAATAGCCTGATAGATAGAAGATAGTAGTATCTACAAGCTTCGTTTCCTTTCTGAGGGGGGAGAAGAACTCACCCCGTCCGCAGAGTGTGGATTGAGTTGTCCCCTTGGCTGATATCTCATGGCCGATAGCCCACTACTGCCAGCTCTGGTGATGATATGGCGATATCAGCTGGATCAAGCCTCGTTTCCCTCTACGGGGTACTTTCGGGGTGCGAGTCTGTCTCCCCTTGGTTGATAACGAATGGGCTACGTACTATCTACTTGGAATATCTGATAACTGATCGCGTATGGTCCGATACCTGATAGCCCCACGGCCCATGGGGCAATCAATGGTGTGGTGTGGTGTAGTGCTGTCGTTGCGATTGTGGTTGTTGTCCGCAGACCTCGTTTCCGTGAGGGACCGAATATGTACAGAGCATGTACTCCCACCGCCAACAAATGCGTGAAAGGCAACCACCGAGAGACTTGGAGTCGTCAATACATTCGTTAGAGAATCCATCTTGACAATGCTCGATGAGTACTCGGAGCCGACACGGAGAATTACCGACTAATCGGGGCGGCGGCGAGGGACTTGGAAGAAATCTTGAGGAAAACGAGCAAAGCAAATCAATTTCCTATGAGAAAACTACCATTTCCACTTAGATTCCCCTGTTCCCTTGGGCCCATCTGTTGTTTCCCACCGATACAGCTGCCGCTGTTAAACAATTTACCCTTCTTTCCAAACACAAATACCGTCCTGCTGCCTGCGGTAGGTCCCGCAATACCCCAACCAACTCTCGCAACCAAGTGGCCCCGACGACGACATGGTAGTCCTCCTCGGTTCAGTACTGTCGGTGACTGGCGGGCGGCGGGATGGCCAAGACTGGAATTTGATATGGTCGCTGTTGGTGTCCCCGCGTACGGAAATTCTGCTCCTCCTCGTCCAGCAGGGCGTCAAGCTGGCGCTGTCGTCCCGCCTCGGCCTGCTGTCTTTGCTCGTCATTCATGCCCTTCTGATGAATTCTCCCTTGTGAGATGCTCCTCAATTGCCAACACAATCGCCGTGACTGCCGGTTGTATGCGAGCGTACTCTGGTCGTGCAACCATCTCGCTGCCTGCCATTGCAGAACCAGATCCAATTCTTTCACGATGAGTTCCAGCTCCTGTATTGTCACGGGTCGACCCAGGCCGGCGGGAACGTAGCCCACGTGGACCTGGCCCCCTTGCTCCAGGCGTTGGGTTTCGAACTCGTGATAGATTTGCGCTTGGTACAACTTCCTCTCCAAATCGTGAATACAAAAAAGGATCTCCCTATCTTCGTCCAGCTCCTTGACCTGTGCGGTCACTTCTTTTTGCTTCTCTGCAATTCGGACTATGTAGCCGCTCAGCTGAGAGAACAGGATTCTTCTCTTGTGATCTTCCAGGTCTCCCATTCCTCTCACCTCGGTGGGCATGGAGGGCGGCGGCATGGGGGGCGGTATCGTGAGCGGCATCGTGAGCTGAGGTCGGACCCACACCTTGTTATGGGAGGACATGGAGGGCGACGCAATGAAGGGCGGCATGAAGGGCGGCGGCATGGAGGGCGGCGGCATGGAGGGCGGCGGCATGGAGGGCGGCGGCATGGAGGGCGGCATCGCGAGCTCGGGTTTTACCGACACCTCTTTATGGGGGGACATGGAGGGCGACGGCATGAAGGGCGGCATCGGGAGCTCGGGTCGGACCGGCACCTCTTTACGGGAGGACATGGAGGGCGGCATCGTGAGCTCGGGTCGGACCAACACCTCGTTAGGGAGGAGGGCGGTGTTGGGTGGTTCTTGTCGTTGTGGTCAGTACAACACCGCGCATGGTCAGCACAACGCACCTCGGTCTGACATAGCTCACACAAGATTCCCAATGCTTTGTTCTTCGTCTTCCGTGGCCTGCTTGAGCACAAGGACGCCGTGTTCAAAGTGTTGTTGGTGATGTCGAGAGCGGTCGACTGTGGTTAGGCTGAATTGAATATATATGGCGCCGGCCAAGTGACGTGGCGGCACTTAAGTGAACGCCACCAGCTGTCAGTGGTATCACATTGAATCAGAACCACCTGGGACGGTGGTGGGCGGCTGCTCCGCCAAAGCGAGGTCGAAATGGATCCACATGCGAGGGGGAGTGTCTGGATTGGTCTTGCGAGACGCCCGGGATGTTTTGGGTTTTTTTCGGCCATTGTGACAGGATCATGGTCTTCGGGTGACATCGGCCTGTGAGCTTGGAAATGGGGATATTTCGAGTCCGATGTGTCATGCCTGTGCCTATCATGGCTTGATCCCCCACTCTAACATACCGTGGAACACCGTGATTCGGTAAATTAGGGTGGAGAGAGCGTCATGTGGCCTCGAAGGCTCTTTGTGAGTGGTGGTCTTGGTTATTGGTCACGCAAATTCATGCCCAATGGCGGCATTGTCTCGTGTGACGGAGGAATCGACTCGGTATGCCATTGGGACGAAGGGGGGTGACCGTTGGGCACAAGTCAGAGCCCAAATGAACGTGAGCAGTGTCGTGTCGTGGTCATGGCCGCACCATTTGTCTGTGGACTGCGCCTGAGATGACGCCCCCACGCCCAGACCGCCCAGACTCTGCCAATCTTGGTGGTTGACATGGTGGAATATCGAGCATCGGGGTGTGCCGAGATGCTGAGAGCCGTAGAGACGAGGGGATTGAGAGTCTGAGATGTGGATAGTATGGGAATATCGGTGGTAGAGCTGAGGAATGTGTCGTTGGTTGGTCAGGGGAAGAAAGGCAATGGAGTGAGTTGGCCACAACGACGACACTGACAGGACTGGAAAGGGTGGAAAGAACAGAATTGGCACTTCGAATGACTTGGTCGAGGTGTTTAGACTCGTGTTTGTCGTAAGCGAGGGTGGTTGGGGTGGTGGTTGAGCCATTGGGTTGATGAGATGTGCCGAGTGTTGCAGGATGACTGCCGGGTTTTTGGGAGAGACATGACAGGACAAGATATGATATCCAGCATGATTATTGCAGTAGACAGACACTGTGAGAGAGTGAATGAGACCATTGCTGCGTTGTTATGGTGCTGTAACGCTCCAACGCGATTTGCAGCGGTCAGGATTCTTACAGGAGACAAGAGAAGACCGAACAGGACAGGATATGATGTGGAACTTGATTATATCATGACATGGACACTGTAAGGGACTGAATGAGACAAGTGCCGTGTTGCTCTGGTGGTGGTGGTGGTCCTGGTGGTGGTCATAGTGCCTGGACCTGTGGGAAGCCTAACCCGCGACCCCCTTCGTATCCGCCACTACCACTGCCCTTTTCTCGTCAAATACTGTCTGTTATGCCAGATTCCAAGTCAAGTAGCACGTTCCGCGGTGTTTTTTCTCTCCGAGTCCACGTTTTGCTGCTATTTTCTCTCACAACCCGATTTCCGTTGATCTGATCTCTTCCCAAATCCATCCTCCACCACCATCTGCCACAACCACTGCCATTTTCTCCTCAAACACTCCATTATCTGATGCCTCCTCTCTCAAATGCTACATTCCGCTGTCTTTTTTCTCTCCGAGTCCACGTTTTGCAGTTGATTTTGCTCAAAATCCAACGTCCACTGCTTCTTCAAGGATACGCAGTCTACCGACCTCTCCCACGTCTAATGGACCTACGTAGGTATCGCGGCATTTGTCTTTGCCTAGCGGTTGTCTTCTTCCTCAGCCCTCCCGGAGGTCACGGACGCCGACATGGCTCTTCAGGCGGAGCAATGCTCTGACTTGGCCGGATACGAAGGGAAGCCCCTCTCGAAGCAATACAAGCTCTTCTTCGGAGTCGGGGAAATTACTTGAGACGTTCTTGGGTGCGGAGGACAAGGATGTAAAGGCTGAAGCCTCTCTCTACGCAGAGTCTGCGTTTCAATGGTCATTGTGGCCACATTCCATACTCAGAGACAGACAGACAGACAGACGCAGGAAACCAATTCATATCTTCCTTCATTCGTTCATGACCCAATCGGACTGTCCAAGAACAGAAGATGGAGGATTCATGCAGTGGCTGCTGCTCTCTGCCCTTGTTTGGTTCGATACCTTTCGATATCTACGGTCTTCACCATGGTCTCTGCCTACGGCTCGGCAACCGCAGAGGTACTCGTCCTGCCTACCAACCCATCGTTGTGCCATACGCTAGCAATCTCCGATTCGATTCCATCTCCCTTTCGTTCCTTTGAGAGCTACACACCACCGCTTTTAGTGATGCTCAGTCCCTTTACGGATCAATCCACCACCACCTTCTACCGTCGTTCCTGTTCAAGCCTCCTTCCGGTGTCTTCTCCTTCAAAGTCCATATCCTGCTGTCTTTGCTCGCAAACGCTTGTTGCTGGGCCACACGGAAGAGAAAGGAATTGATCCGAGACATGATTTGGCTGTGGGGGACAAGATTGCGAAGGCTGAGGGCACTTTCTACGCAGTTTATTGATTTCAATAGTCGTTGAGGCACTATCTCACTGTATTACGTTGAGGTCATTCATTCCATGGACGCAACACAACACGCAGGGAACCAATTCGTTCGTTCAGGCAAGTGCTCTGATAACTGAAGATGGAGATCTCATTGCAATGGCTGGTCTTTGCCCGTGTTTGTTTCGGATCCTGTCGATATCAATCCTCTTCACCATGGCCCGGCCTGCCTCCGCCTCGACAAGCACAGAAGGGCACACGTCTTTCTCACAATCGCCGATTCGATTTGATTCGATCTCATCTCCTTGCCTCTGAGATCTGAAGGACACATGGTTGGTGGTAAGCTTTGGCCCTTGTCTGAAATCAATCCAACACGACCTTCTACTGTCGAATCTGTCCTCCGGCGTCTTCTTCCTGCCGTCTTTGCTCTACAAGGCCACCTTCTACTGTCTCGTCCCTTGTCAAACAATGTCTTCTCTTTTCAAGTTCCCCCTTCCGGCATCTTCGCTCCCAAAGTCCACCAATCCGTGGCTCTCCAAGTTCAAGATCGGCTGGATTTACCTCTCCGAGGGAGAACGGTCGACGTGAAGGAAGAAACATTTGTAACAGCCATTGTAACAGTCTCAAACAACTGGATTTTCATCAAGTCCAAGTCCTTCTAATGTATTTTCACCAAGTCCCACCCTTTCAAGTTCTCCCTTCCGGTATCTTCGCTCCCAAAGCCCACGTTTTGCCTTTTTTTCAATCTACAAGTCCATCTTCCTCTGTCCGTCCTCTCCAAGTCGGACCTGCTACCACGGTCTCTGCCAGATTCGGCCTTCTGCTGTCTTTTCTGCCAATGTCCATCTTCTACTGTCGTTTCTATCCACGTCCCGCTTCCAATGTCCAAGTCCGCCTTCCAATGTCTTTCTCTCTCTCTCGAAATCCCCTTACTACTATCTTTTCTACCAAAGTCCACCTTTACCTGTCTTTTGTCCAAGGCAATCTGCCTTCTGCTGGTCTTCTTGCTCCCAGAATCCCTTTTCTGCTGTCGTTTCTCTACAGGTCGACCTGCTAATGTCTTCTGCCCGAGGCCATCTGCCTTCTACTGCCCTTTCTGTCTCAGAATCCCCTTTCTGCTGCGTTCTCTACCGAATTCTGCCTTCTTCTCTCTCTCTCTCTCTCTCTCTCTCTCTCTCCCGTTTCTGCTATATTCTCTACCAGATTCTGCCTTCTGCCGTGTCGATTCTATGCAAGTCGACCCACTATTGTCTTCAAATCCACCGTCTGCCGTATTTTCACCAAGTCCCCCTTTCTGGCGTCTTCCCCAAGTCCCCTTTCTGCCGCCGTTTCTGTCTCAGAAACCCCTTTCTTCTGCGTTCCCTCCCGAATTCTGCCTTTTGCTGTCGTTTCTGTCCAATTCCACCTTCTTCTCTCTCTCTCTGTGAATCCCCGATCCTGCCTTCTGCTGTGTCGTTTCTGTCCAAGGCCATCTGCCTTCCGCTGCCTTTTAGAATCCCCTTTCCACTGCGTTCTCTACTAAATTCTGCCTTTTGCTGTTGTTTCTGTCCAAGTCGACCTTCTCTCCTCTCAAACAACTGCATTTTTCACTGAGTACCGCCTCTCTGCCGTCGAATCTTGACTCCATGTCCACCTGCTACTGTATTCTCTCTACATAGACACTGGAATTTGACCAAGTCCAAACTTCTGCTGCGCCTTTCTTCATTCCAAGTCCACGATCTACGGTCGAATCTCTCTAAGTCTCTCCTTCTAGTATCCTTCAAAGCTCCCCCCTTTTGGCGACTTTCTAAGTCCCCCCCTTCCGGCGTCCTTCCAAGTCCACGATCTACGGTCGAATCTGTCCAAGTCCCCCCTTCTGGTGTCCTTCCAAGTCCAAAGTCTACTGTTTGTCTTGACTTCCAGTCCAAAATCTGCTGTATTCCGACCAAGTCCACGGTCTACCGTCTTCTTCTCTTCTCAAACAACTAGATTTTCCTCAAGCCCAAAGTCCTACTGCTGTAGTTTCACCAAATCCCCCTTTTCCGGCGTCTGTCCAGGTCCAAAATGTATTGGATTTCCACCAAGTCCGAGCCTCTGCTCCATTTTGACCAAGTCCACGATCTACTGTACCCTCTGTCCTCAAACTGGATTTCCACCAAGCCCAAAGTCCTTCTGCTGTATTTTAACCAAATCCCACCCTTCTGTCGTCCTTCCAAGTCCAAAGCCTACCGTGTATCTCGACTTCAAGTCCAAAATCTGCCGTATTTTGACCAAGTCCACGCTCTAGTAGACTGTGTCCCCAAAAGACTGAATTTCGACCAAGTCCCCATCTTCTGCTGCATATTGACCAAGTCCACACTGTGCTGTGTCTCCAAAAGACTGAATTTCGACGAAGTCCCAACTCCTGGCTGCATTTTTGACCAAGTCCACCGCCTGCTGTCTTCTCCAAGTCTCAAGTGCAAGTCCCAAAATCCCGGGGGATTTCGCCAAGTCCCACGTTCCGGCGGCCTCACCGAGTCCTCCCCAAAATCTACTGGATTTTCGCAAAGTCCCATCACTTGAAGTCTCCATGGACTCCCGTGGCTGGGGCTCTACGACGATATTCTTCATCACTTATGCGAGAAGGAAAGAGGCAGGAAAGGCTGGTGTCTACTGGTCGGACTTGGGATTGCTAACTCCTAAACTCCTAATGCGATGCTGAACATAATGATACTGTACAAACATAAAAAAAGGGCACAGAGTGGCTGGTTGCCCCCTTCGCTTCCCTCCCCCTCCAGAAACCCCCCCCCCTTCTCTGCCTCCCACCCAGCTCCGGGATACACGGTCAATCTTCCCCATCACCTCTCGAGGCCAGCCAGCCACCCTGCAACACACCTCCACCTACCACCATGATCAGCCGCCCTACCCCCTCCCCAAAACCCCCCGGAGCCCCCCCCCCCCCCCCCAACAGGCGAGGGCTAGGCAATGACCTTGGAAAAGGCCTGCCGTCCTCGCCCTCACCTGTACATTGGTTGTTTGGTAAACTTTCAAGTATGTATTCGATTGTCATTGATGGTGTTGCTGCTGATAAAATATAAGGCGAGACCGAACAGAAGGCGATTTTTTCGTGAAATTCGATTGTCATTGATGGTGTGGTTGCTGATAAAACACAAGGCGAGACCGAACACAAGGCGAAAATGAATACAAGGCGAAAACGACAAGGACAGGGACGGCAATGCCTTGGTAACTTCAGTCATGGGCGGCCAAACTTCAAACTGTGAGGGCGTGCTTGTCACACGGCCCCGGCATCCCGAATAATGGCGAGCCCGCCGGGGTAATCTCGCGTTTGGTGCAGGGAATCAACGCAACGCCGCCACGGTGCTTCGCACTCGGATACCTGGCCCTCCGATAGCTCGGGGGCGTCTGTTAGGATTCCAAGGGATTATGATGACAGAGTCCGGGTCAGGAGACATTACCCGGAATGGGACCCACTCTGCACCATCGTCGTCATCGACATGTGCACCGGTGGAGGTGGGCGTGGCAAGGGAAGTGAAAGGAGCCATATCCACGGCGCTGTTGGCTTGGGACATTATCTCTAGTGCGCGGGAAGTGGTGGCTCGGAAGTCCCTGCCACGGCCAACGTCAGTCGTTTCGCGTCCCGTGGGAGGATCACCTTGCCGGTCTTCTTGTTGTCCCGGAGGGCCTTGTGTGGCCTGGCTGTGTTCGGCATCGGACATGCTGTTTGTGCCTTCCCCGAGTGTGGAGGGCGACTGTGTGGCTGGGCCTTGTGCGGACCGGCGGTGTTGTGTGGTGTCCCGTTCCTCATCGGACATGGGATCTGTGCCTTGGCCGTGCCAGACATCGTATTGTGCTCCTTGGTGGTGTGCGGTGTTGGGCATGGCCCTTCCTGCACGACCGCTTCCTGCACGACCGCGACCGCGACCGCGACCTCGACCGCGTCCTCGACCTCGACCTTGGCCTTGGCCGTGCCTGCGGTCAGGAATCCACTCAACACTCCAGTCAACACTCCATGCAGGACTTCGGCTACGGCTGCGACCATAATGTCGACGTGGTTCTTGTTGTGCTTGTCTGTGCGGTTGTTCCCAGCTCGATGTGTGGTCAGGCATCACACGTCCCCCCCTGCGCGCTGAGCGTATCCCGACAAAGCGGGGGGGTTCAGGGGTATCAGGGGTGGTGCGAAGGGGTGGAAGATGATGCGGAGGGGACGGCGACCCGACTCGCTGCGACTGAGAAGGTTGGCGGGGCGGGTAGGGAGGTAGAGGCGGTAGGTGCCGAGACACTGGCTCGTGGTAGGCGTTGCTTGCCGGCTGTTGAGGGGCGTTGTATGGCGACGTGTAGCTTGGAGGGTACGCAGAGGTGGTGTTCCACGGCTGGGGGGCGGGGTATGGCGGCGGTCGGTACGTGTGGTTTGGCCACGGGTAGCCTGCGCCCCACGGATGGTGGCTGTACGGAACCATCTCGTTAGGATGGATCGCCGCTTGTTGCATCGCGTCGTGGCGTCTTCTGGCCTGTTCAAGTGCCTCGAGGTCTTCACGTCTCAAGAGATGGTGGTTTGGTTCGTTGAGGGGGATGGGAGATTCGTTGACGGTCGGCGGCAGCCCGGGGGACCGTGGGGGTGTTGTCTCCGGCTGTGTTTGTCTGTCCTGTGGGTAGGACATGGAGGTGGACAGAGGCAACGCGGGTTGGGACCCTTGGAGGTTGTTGTCAGACAGAGAGGTCTTGATCAGGATGTGGATGAGGTCTTGAGGATGTGGATGAGGTCTTGATCAGGATGTGGATGAGGTCTTGAGGATGTGGATGAAGTCTTGGGGGTGTGGACGAGGTCTTGAGGATGTGGACGAGGTCTTGAGGATGTGGACGAGGTCTGTGGTCTCAACCTAACAAACAACTCAGCATTGTGAAGGGCGGAAACGATGCTGATCTTTGAAGAGATTGCACGACGATGAGATGTCAAGGGGGTGGGCGACATTGGGTGTGCCTCAAGGGATGAGTGCTGCGTCTGAACAAGGAGAGAACAGGACTGAATGTGAAAGCAAGCACGCAGCAGCAACGACGTGGTTCGGGATGACGTCAACAACAATACTGGAGGACAACTGACCAATGAGGACGACTGACATGCAGCGAAGGGATAAGGCTGAGGGGTGCAGGCTGAGAAGAGCCTCCACAGGGAGGAGATGTTGACCGGAGATGGAGTGATGGAAGAGGATGAAGGAGGGGAAAGGGGGGATGAGACGGTTTATATGCCCCTTCTTCGTCTTTCCCCCGCCTTCTGAGTGCATCCAGAGGACTTCCGCTCAACAAGCAACCTGGAAGCGTTGGGACTCCGAGGTACCATGTGCTACGGACATGTTTAGAGAGAGCCAGAGGTTCCTCATCTGACCAAGAGCTGAGACTATTGGCGGCCCAAGCGCTGCTGCGGACTCCCACCGCGCTGTGATTTGCTCTACCACCCAAACTGATGCCATTTCCACAGGATCAGCTGAAAGTCCGGTCACAAAGAAAAAACATGTGCCATCGGACTGTGCCAAGAGAGAGTGAGGTGGCATTGGCAGACTTTTGTTGGAAGGTTTGGGTGTTTTTGTGGTACCAAATCAGAAGAGTGTGGAGAAGAGAGAACCAACGGTTTGAGCAATTTAACTCGCTCAAACTCTGGTTATTAGCGTGAATGTCAACCAAGTGAAGTGGGGTTTGGCGCTGTCAGGAAAAAATGAAAGAAAAAGACGGTGAGATGCCGGGGGGGGAGGGGAAAAAAGGGGGGTTTGGGCATGCCCCCGTGGTTGTGGCCGTCACTCTCGTTGTGGTTGCTTTTGTCGAGAATGCCATACAATTTCGCCGCAATGGACGTGTCTTTCGTGTCTTTCCCCAGAAAACCCAATATCGAGACTGAAAGAAACGGAGATCGGAACAGTGAGCCGGCGAAGTTAGAGGGAGATCAAGCTAGATAGGCGCGGTGCGGAGAGAGCGAGAGCGAGAGCGTGGGCGAGAGCGTAGGCGTGGGCGTGGGCGTGGGCTTAGGCGTGGTGTAGTGAGGCACGGCGTGTTTAGTGGGAGATAGGCTTAACCCTCCGGCATAAGGTTGGGGGGTCAAGCACCGCCTAAAGTGAGCCGGACAGACGCGGTTTGACCCCCGAAGCGAAGCCTAAGCATCGGCTGCTGGGGCCTGAACCACCCTCCCCGCCAGCTAGACAGTAGTAAATTTGGCGGGACGGGGGAGTGCGAGATCATGCCGCCGACCCAATTTCCTATCCCAATTCACTGCCACACGCGATTGATCGCCTGAAACTGATGTGAATTGACTCTGAAAACTCCGTCAATCCAATTCCGCAGGAACTTTGTGAGAAAGATCGAAGCAGCAAAGCACAAAGGTAGGGAAACAGGTCAAACTCCGGGGGTTTTGGCTACAACGGCTGCGACAAGGCCGGTCCGGCCGAGTGTTGCTACATCGGATGCTATGCAACGAGGTGAAGTACTACCCCCGCAAATTATGGCTGCAGCGGTACAACAGACACTACAGTGGAGCGGTGGTGCCAGGGACGGCAATCGGATACGTGAGATAATGACGCCACCACGCCTCGTGGGATGAGGCTTGTATCAGGTGGCTGAGATAGAATGGGGGCCATTATCATTGAATCACATGACCGAATGCTCTTCCACGCAGCTGCTGAAGAACAGAGGGTGGCAGAGGATATGTGTATATGTATATATCAAGGAATAGATACACGCAACGCAACGGCAGCAACAACAAGGTCCAACACCTCGCTGCCAGCGACGACGAGAGCATCGACGACATTACCCGCCTATTTCACACTGTTTCGACAAAAAGTGAGAGAAAAACCAACACTCGGGGGCATGCCCTTCAGCGACGACGTGCATGGGGTCTCCAGGCCCGTGCGAGGGGTCCCTTGGTCACCCGGGGAGTCTGTGACGTGTGTGCCATGAGTGAGTGACCTCTCTCCCCTTTACAAAAGTGCAATGGCCAATGGGAACGGGACAAGGGTGCCCAAAAGGCAACGCTGAAGCTGAAAATGCCTCGAAATTTGCCATCCGGCGAGTCTGGACCGTGAGTGAGTGTCCGCTCTCCCCCTTGCAAAAGTGCAATGGCCAATGGCAACTGGATACCGGTGTCAAGAAAGGCAACTGAAGCTGAAAATGCCTCGAAATTTGTCACCCTTGCGTGGATACGATGAATGCCATTTGATGGGTCACTTGGTCACCCAGCGAGTCTGGACCGTGAGTGATCACTCTCCCCCTTGCAAAAGTGCAGTGGCCAATGGCAACTGAACAACGGTGCCACAAAAAGGCAACGTTGAAGCTGAAAATGCCTCGAAATTTGTCACCCTTGCGTGAATACGATGAATCCCATGTGATGGGCGATGGAAATCTCCACATGGTGGCATTTGACAGGCATCGACGAGCGTCCAGACTCCGTAGGCAAAGGTTATTGAGTGGTCATGTCAACGCCCCCGGGTCCACTGTTGTTGTTTTCTTTGTTGCTTTTTGCCTTTTTGCGGGTCGTCCGTTAGCGTCGTCGAGCGGAAGCGAGGTGGAGCGAGGTGACAAATTCCACATGCAGCAATTCACACAGGTGTAAAGTCAGGTTCTAACTTCCATGCACGTTGGGTGGATTCCCTTCATGCTTCACGGGGTGTCCAATAGCACCATTAAGGGGGGGGGGGGGGGCGAGGTGACAAATTCCACATGAGGTGCAAGGTCAGCTTCCAACTTCCCATGCATCGATTGGGTGCCCTTCCTGCTTCAGGAAGCGGACCGACAAATGCCACAAAAGTTCCAGGCGTCACAAGGTGCAAGGTTGACAGTCGTATAGTAGTGCTCTGCCGCACGGATGTCCTGTCTGCTTTGGGTGATGATTGGCGGCGAAAAAGGCCAGGCGTCACAAGGTGCAAAGTGGGCAGTCGTATAGTAGTGCTCTGCCGCACGGATGTCAACTCTGCCTGTCTGCTATGGGTAACGATCGGCGGCAAAAAGTCCTCACATGCTTGCGTGTGCTTTGGTTTTGCTGCGTTGTCTTCAGCACGGCATGTCAACCCCCCAGTCAACCACCCTATCTCTGGCGCTGCTGCAACCCCTGTCCGGCACTCTCCGGGCACATCACACCCTGCTCGACATCAGCCAAGGAGGCTGGTATGCGCTAGGACCTGTCAGTCACTTCCCTGGGAGGGTGCGGTATGGTACCAGATGGTGATTGAGTGATTGCCAGACGGACTTGGTCTGGCCGTGAGCCAGTAAGTAAGGGATAGGAGTGGAAGCCAATAGGGGGCTGGCAGGTGCCAGTGGTGGCCGTAGCAGTAGCAGCGCCTACGGGCAGCAGTGCAGCCCCAGAGCGCTCCTCGCACGGACACAAAAAGGCAGGCTAGGAGGTACAGGGGCTGGGAAACAGTATATCACTCTCCTCCTGCCAGAGCGTGCTTGAAGACAGCCATCGAGCAGATAGCAGGCCGATACCGCAGGCCAACAAGACCACCAGCAACCAGGTAAGCAATCCCGCAACCCGCAACCAAAGCCGCCGGCAGGAAATGACGCCGGCAAGTAGGTGACCCTCCGACGAACCAGCGACGAACACCATGGCCCCCAGGCCCAACAGCAGCAACAACCGCGACACCTCCGACGGACCAGCGACGAACACCATGGCCCCCGGGCCCAATAGCAGCAACAACCGCGACAACTACCGCTGCCATGGTTACCCGGGACCCATGAACCCAACCCAAATGGTCCATCACTATCTTGCACACGAGAGCCTTTTCCACCTTCGAAAAGCCCAGATGGGTTTGGGACAGGCCCGAAACTTTATGCTTCAACTGCTGCAGATCGAGAAAGATGCGGGCAGGGACGGGGACGATCTGGCCATGGTGTGCAATCAACTGGCCGCGTCTCACGGTAAACTGGAGGACATGATCGGCTCCGTGACCGAGATGACCGAAGGTCTGGTCCAGTGGAGCATGTCCGCTGCGAGCCTTGCCGAGCAGGCCAACACCAACGGCGTCGTTGCTGTCAATGGCACACACGTCCACTCTGCCGAAGCAGCCATGCCCGAGACTGAGGAGGCGTCGATGTTGAACGGCTCGGAGGAGCGCGGCCCCAATGGTGCCCTGGCAGAAGAAGAATAGCGGAGGGTCGAGCGTGACACCATCTCAAGATTCTTGGGCGATCGGGCCTGACCCAGATGTCCATGCCACGATCAAGGGACATGGTTTTCATAGGTCCGCAGTGTTGGTAGCAATAGGAATGAGTGTTCCCGATGTGATTTGCCATGATTGCTGTCGACCAGGCACGTAGAAGTGGTAGAAGTACTTGAAGACACTCACGTTGCTCAATTTCCGCCAATCAGTGTCGAGAAGTTCCGGACAAGGACGGAATAATAAACATGCCGAGTGCTGCCGAATGCTGCCGAGTGTCTCGGGAGGCCTCGGGAGCTGGCCGTGAGGGGAAACCCGACACGCCAAGATCTCTGCCACTCCAATTCTTGACTGGAACTCCAACTCTTGGCTGCAACTCCAATTCCAAGACAAACCGAGGCAATGAATCAACGGGCACCAGTCCGAATACACGTGATACAATGCCGCCGACTGGCACTATCACACGGTCGACTTGTTTTTTTGCGCCCTCGCACTCCTTCTGGCTGCAAACAAGTAGTCAGTGTGTATATTGTTGGTTTCTGGGGTCAGTGGTGGGGATAGGAATGACCGTCGAGGCTGCGAACGTCTCTCCCTGTGATGAATGGTGTTGACTTGTTCCGCCGTGATGGACTGCCTGCCTGCCTGGTGGTGAGAAAAGAGAGAAGAGGAATACCGAGAGAAGGGGGAGAGGGGGTTTCTGAAGAACAAAGGGGACAAGCGGGACAAGCGGAACAAGCGGAACGAGAGATCATTCAGTTTCGACCAGTTTCTGTAGCATCGGACAAGTTGATCAGTCGGTATGAGTAGGAAAGTTTCGAGAGACGAGATTAGACCAGACCAATCAACTAGCAGCAACTAAGAAGACAAGGACTCATTACATTTCCTGCATACGGCTCCACTACACACGGCGGGCGGTGGACGGTGGACGGTGGGCGGTGTACAGCGGAAGGCCATGTAGAGAGTGTTCCGGGATACTACCACAAGCAGAAGAGAGAGAAAGGGAGGGATATGATATAGGTAAATACATCGCCAGGAATACTCGGCCGAGTGTCAGCGTCATCTGTTTGGCCCTAGTTCTATCAGTCAGTTCTATACTTTATCATCGGGATCCTGCCCAGCCTGTCTACCCTGTGCGTGATTCTCTCGTCAGCACTGCAGCCCCTCACCCTTCATCACCCCTAAAATCTCCCAAGTACTACACCGTGGATACCAAAACCACGCCTCTGCACCCTCAAACTATACCTGGAATTGAATAATCCCCTTGCAAGGCCCCCTTTAGCACCCGCTCACCATCCCCCAAACACCATCAAGCGCGGCCCTCAGCTGTCAAGTGCCCCAACTCCTTCATTATTCAACACTCTCTTCCTACTTCCCTTCCACTCTACATACTATATGGGTCGAGTTATGCTACAAGCGATGTGCCGCTACCAGAGGGAAGAAGAAGGGATCGAATCGGCGGTTGGTTGTATACATATAGGACAAAGGACAAAGATGGGAAGTCCGGACAAGGTATGCCCCTACGTTTACCCAGCCGTATGCCAGCCATCGTCAACACCATGAATGGATACCGAAAGGTTTGAACAGAAAAAGGGTAGAACTATAGAAATATTACATTCATTCTCTGTCCTCTGTTGTCTGAATAACAGAATGTGTGCATATCAGGATGACCGAGAGACTCCGCGTAGATGCCTCAGTCTGGCAGCCTTGGGCTCTATAGCCACACGTCTCAGATGACCACTCTTCTCCCGTGTGCCCCAGGACAATTGTATTCATTGTGTATTGACCCCTGATCATGACCATCCACCGGTGGTTGTCCCCCATGCCTCCAGGGGTGCCGCACAGGTAGGCCTCATGCTGTTTGTACATGCATGTTTTTCTTGCTTTTCTGGTGTCGTCGGCATCACCCCCCCTCCTAAGTGCGTTTCTCATGCGTTTCGCATAGGGAACGCATATGCTAACTATGAGTGTAGCATGCGATTCGCGTGGTTATTTGGTGGCGCATGCGTTTAGCCGGTGACTCGCAGGCGAGAAACATGCGAGAAGCACGCGCCTAACAAAATTCGCCCCTAAATATTGTACCCTTGGCCACTCATCAGCACCCCAAATACACCTAAACACACCCCAAAGACCTACCAACAGCGGCCTCTCCGCAACCACGTTCAACCTGCCAAATGCTCCCTTGATAATTTACTTGGTCCAGCACCACCAGCACCCTTTACCAGTCCTCGGTCGCCCAAACTCACCCAAAACCTACTGATAACGCCAATAAGCCCCCATCAACTCCAACCCTACGACTTCTCCCTTGAATAATTACACCAAGACACCCTCTAATACAGCCCATAACACCTCATCAACTCTCCCTACGACACTGCAAATTCTCCCTCGAATAATTACACCAAAACACCCACCAAACCCATCCAATGGCTCTCTATCAACCCCCCATCAAACTACTACCAAGTTTCCCTCGAATAGTTCCACCCTTTAGCACCCCAATCACACCCAAACATCCACCAGTAACGCCCATAACCCCCAATGCCACTCCCTGTATCTCTCTGCAACCATCTTCAACAATACAAACTCCCCCCTTGAATAAATGCATCGATATTTGTCCTGCAGACACACCCGCCCATCAAACCGCATCCATTCCGACCATTCTGACAACTTTTGCTTGCAACAACCGCACAGCCCCATGATTTTGGCATTATTATTGCTCTACTTGGGACCTGCACTTGTAGTTCTGCTATTTCATTGGCCTTGGGTGGGCCTGAATCGACTGCATGATGACGTTCTGCTACTTGTTTCTTTCCAAGGCGAGAGAAATAGTGCGAGTTGAAACACAGTGCTGCCTAGCCCCTTGTACGACCTCGTATTCTGCCAGTATATATTCCTGCCTCACCCAGAATTCACAGCCCTCTTCTCTTTCTTCCTCTTTCAACACACTTCATCACACAACCAACCTCATTGACCGTGCCGGCTCCACGATACAGATCAAGCATCCAGAATGGTTTTGTGCAAGGTAGGATCTTCGTTGCAGACCATGCTTCGTGGTACTAATCGTGGATAGTGCCTCACGACGGATCCTCGTCAGGGCCGTCCGCCAAAGAACACGGTAGGCAGGATCTTGCTTCAGAAAGACCTACGCTGTGCTGACATAGGAAATAACAAGGGATGCGACCACTTGAGAACTATGTACGGTCAAGCTGCGAACGAGGCCGTCCAGCGAGGAACCCCCCAGGGCCAGGCAGCCCAGGGCGAGGCATCGCTAAAGAAAGCTCCCCCCTTGGTCCCGGTAGGCAGAATCTGTCTTTAGACAGCCCTACGCTGTGCTGACATAGGAAATAACAAGGGATGCGACCACTTGAGAACTATGTACGGTCAAGCTGCGGAGGCCGTCCAGCGAGGAACCCCCCAGGGCCAGGCAGCCCAGGGCGAGGCATCGCTAAAGAAAGCTCCCCCCTTGGTCCCGGTAGGCAGAATCTTTCTTTAGACAGCCCTACGCTGTGCTAACATAGAAAAGAAACCCGATTACCTGAGGAGTTTTTACGGCCTCACCACGAGTATTTCCACCGACGGTGATGGACTGATCGACGAGAACGCCAGAGCATGGCTAGAAATTGATATTGCCACGTGGAGAGAGCGCATTCGCGACACCAACAAACAGATTGAGAAACTGGACATCCAGATGCTAAAAGCGCGCGACGCCGCTGTTGCTGCCGTTAAACAGCTTGAGTGGGTGACTGAAGCGCTGGAGACTGCACAGGCGACCACGGCGGGTATCAGTCTCGACGAAGTGCCACCCTTGACAAAATCACAGGCGTTGGGCCTCATGCAAGAGATGAGTCACGAAGTGACAAGCAATGAGCATGACATCCAAGTGGCGCAGAATATCATCAACTTCCACAGAAGCATCACGCTGTTGCTCTGGAGGTCGCACAGTTTGAGAAGTTCGTCACTGGCACAGTGGAGAGCGAAGCAGCAGGGCTCGAAGACAACTAATGGTCTCTGAGGGAGGGCGGGGAAGGGCAGCAGGGTCGGGTTGCTGGCTGGGTGTACTCCAACGGACAGGGGAAAGGGGACAGTGTGGGTGGAAAAACGCCACGTTCTCTTCGACAGAGACTCAAATGGCAGCGAAGGATTTCGGTATCTCTCCAATGACCAAGCAATGTTGTCTCATCGGCAAATGAAGCCTCCGATAATAACCAAAGTGCTCAAGTGACAGCCAAGGTAGCCAATGAGGGTGGCTCAGGGATACGGTGACACCCAAAGGCCCCCCTCCTCCCTCCCCCCAACGACCGCCCGAGGAACAACGCAACAAAGCGCCACGCCCCACCCGAGGAGGCGGAGTCTGGACGCCTTGCAGTAATCATTGAGACTCACCGCATGTTCACACCTTCGACGCCCGACGCCCGACGCCCGACACGGCCGGTGAGGGGGGAAAGTGCTCAGTGTGATACGTTCTGATGGCCAGTGTCAGCCTAGATCCCCAACAAAATACCACCGGGGCGATGCACGTATACGCCACGCCCTTCTCCAGACCTGAATCTAGACCGCTCGAAACACTCATGGTGTTACACGGTCTGGATCCATCATCAATGCGTAGTGCCTTTCGCCCTTGCCGACGGCATCAGATCAGAGACAAGACGGCACGTTCCCCCCCGCCTGACAGGCAAGACAGTCCAATAAACGCCTGCGAAACGATTCAGCGTGGCGCCATGCTCCATCAACGACCTTGGCTCGGGCACTTTGAGGCATTTATCGAGTCACACGGCATAGACACATCACCAGAGACGAACGCCATGAACCAATAGGCACGTTCCCTCCGCCTGACAGGCAAGACACATCACCAAAGACGAACGCCACGAACCAATAGGCACGTTACCTCCGTCTGACAGGCAAGACGCATCACCAAAGACAGGCAAGGTACACCACCAAAGACAGGCAAGACAGATCACCAAAGACAGATAACACACACCGCCAAAGATAGGCAAGGTACATCACCAAAGACAGACAATACACACCATCAAAGAGAGGCAAGACAAATCACCAAAGACAAATAACACACACTACCAAAGAGAGGTACATCACCAAAGACGAACGCCATGAATCAGAGAGTGTAAAGGTACGTTCCCTCCGGCTGACAGGTAAGATAGATCAAAACAGACAGACAAGACACATCAGCAAAGACGAACGCCATGAATCAGAGAGTGTGAGGCACGTTCCCTCCGCCTGACGGGTAAGACAGCTCACCACAGACAGGCAAGACAGATCACCACAGACAGGCATGGCACATCAACAGAGGCGAACGCCATGGACCAAAGAGTATGAGGCCATCCCTCCGCCTGACAGGCAAGACACACCACCAAAGAGAGGTACATCACCAAAGAGAGGTACATCACCAAAGAGAGGTACATCACCAAAGAG